ATTTCTATCCTATCTCTTATGATCTTTTTAAACTTGAATGCTATTTAGTTCAAATGCAACCTTGGAATTCATGTCTTTATATTTCCTTAGTCAAAAGCCATCACCTTTTTTCTTTTATTAAAGGACTGAAAGGCTATAGGCATTTATTTATTTAAGGATAACAATGGTATTAGCATTGTTTGACTTAAAGAATTAGTGTATCAGTGTTTGGCGAGAGAAAAGGCATGTTCATAATGTAGAGCCCGGCAAGCTACCGAGAGTATTCGATATGCCAGACACAGTAACAACAAAGTCTCCAATGGAGACGTTACTGGGCCCGCTCGAGCAAATCGACGATCAACGGGAGGGCCTTTACCTTTACCTTATTTTTCATTAGTGATGCACAATACTTTCTTTCTCTGTCACTCTCAGATTTCATTTTGTCTGCCTAACATGCACTCCTCACATGTTCTCTTACATGGAATTATGGCTGTGTTTATCACTAAGTGGAAGCCATTTGATTTTTGCAGGCTTTCTCCCCCTCCCCCCCCCCCCCCACACACACACACACCATTCCCCAAACATGTTTGCTTCTGGGTTTACTACCACTCACTTACTAGTGCCCTGGGTCTTAACCTTGTTCAAACAAAACTTCTTAAATGGATGCATTAAAAAGGTCACAGCAGTGAACCATTTTCTAACTTTGGGTGCCATAAAATGGGTATGTTATGTTTGGAATATACGGCTTCTGAGTGCAGCTATTCATTTTCTTCATCTATAAAAATTTTAGAATAACAGCTTACATCTGTTTGTGGTTTTCAAGTTCTGCATTTTGAAGGGACATCTCTGTTACGTAACTCCAAGCCAGACCTGGAGAGGGACCTTGCTCTCTGGCAGCCACACCTTCTGTAGGCGGCAGGAGAAGGATTTGTTTAGCCGTGGAGCCATACTTGCTGGCAGGGCTCCTTCACATGTGTGGACCACATTCCCGTTATCGTTTCTTCCTAATGTAAAGGAAAAGCATGTGAAGCAGTTTTGACTTTAAAAACACTTGAACATTTTTCATATATCAGAGATTTATCTTATGACAGATATTTCACTACCAAAAGCTAGAAATAAGTTTTAATTGTTGATGCATTTACAACATGTTTAATTATCATATACAGTCAGTCTTGTTTTAGACAGTAGAATTGGGGTTTAATAATTGGCTTAGTCTTTAAAGTAAATACTCAATGGAATGGTTTGACTTCTCCAAATGTGTGAATTTTTAAGTTGAAAGAACAATTTAATAAAAGTTTTTGTATGTTTGTTTTGAGGCCATGCCTGGCAGTGCTCTGGGCTTACTCCTGGCCCTGTGCTCAGGGATCATACCTGGCGGTGCTCAGAGACCTCATTTGGTGCCAGGGATTGAACCCAGGTCAGACTAGGCAAGAGAAGCACCCTACCCACTGTACTACCTTTCAGGCCCAATGTTTTAATAGAGGAAAATGTACATAACGCTCATTTATGGGATTAGAAATTTAACAATTTTTATTAACTATCCAAATATGTAGCTAACATAATAGCAGTTTTATTGATGTTTTTCTTTTAATCCAAAAGAAAAGAATGCTGAGGCTAGCGCATCAGTACAGCAGGTAGGGCGCTTGTCTGGCATGCAGCCAATTTGCGTTCTATCCCCCGCTTCCCAACCACCTTGAGGAGTAATTCCTAACTGCAGAGCCAGGAGTAACCCTGAGCATTGCTGAGTGTGACTCAAAAACAGAAACAAACAGAAAAAGAGCAAAGGATGCTAATTTGAACCGTTACATCTAAGTTGGAAGGCCTTTATGAACTCTTACAAATGTGAAATATTCACCTCCTAAAAATATTTACATTTGGGAGAGTGGAATACAGGAAGAAAATTCCATCATCTTCAACCCTTCTGTTCATTGTCATCTTGAATATTTTATTACACTTTATACATTTTGTAAGCTTAGAAAAGTTTTTAGAGAACTACTCTATAGCTAGTGGGTTTTTTTTTTTTCGGGAGGTGCAAGGGGTGCGTGTGTGTTGATAATTTTATTGGAAATCAGGCACTTGAGTTTCAGAGTGGACAGTGTCAGATGCATTCATGTTTAGGTAACAAACATGCCAAACCGAACTTGTCTCCTGCAGTGGAACTTTGGCATTTGGGGTGGGGTGTGGCTTGTGCGAGATGATAACCAGCTTCTCCGAGTGTCAGCTTGAACATGTCTGTTGACAATTGGGCGTTGGTTTTTCTCACTGCCATTTCCTGCCCAAATGGGAGACAGATTTTCTGGCTGTGGCCATTGTCCAGCCCAGGGCCACCATTTGCTCAAGCAGAAGACAGATGATGCTAGACTTTTAATTTCCGACCAGACACAAATACTTCAGAAGTAATTTCATGCCTTTAACTGATGTGAAGGTCAGTACCTAAAATAAAATCCTTCCAACCCCTGGTCTCTGGCTCTCTCAACATTCACACAGCCACATGCATGTTGGCCATGCTCAGTGCCTCTCTTTCTCTTCACTTGCGGCCTGCAGAAACAGGTGAGTACAGAATCGCAGTGGCAGCACGGGCGGGCGGGCGGGCACCGTTGTTTCTGGCACGGGCCCACTCTGCAGTGGCCAGGCGTCACAGAGGCTGAGCCCCCATTGGAATGCAGACCTTGGAGAGGGAGGCTCTGTGTTAGCGTTTGGGAAATTTTAATCAAAAGCAATCGATTGTATTGTTAGTGAATTTCTAAAGTATCGCCTTTAGAAGTCGCATAGATTCAGACAGGACTTTGTTGGAAGGGATGTTTCTGGATGGTAGATGTTTGCTGAAAGTGGGTAAACCAGGACCAAACATGATGGCCTCTCAGTATCTGTATTGCAAACAGAGAGAGAGAGAGAGAGAGAGAGAGAGAGAGAGAGAGAGCGCTTGCTGTGGGGGCGGGGGTAGGGGTGGGCAGGGAAACTGGGGACTGTGGTGGCTAGAACTGTACACTGGTGGAGGAATGGGTTTTGGAACATTATGTGACTGAAACCTGATGGAAGCTTTATAGCCGTGTTTCCCAAGGTTCTAAAGACCAGACTTCGAAGACTTCGAAGTCGGATTGGTCTGGCTTCTTACTCCCTAGTAGTAGCAAGGCTCCTCTTGGCTTCTCTGCGCCTGTCTCCCGTGTACTGCGGGGATAAAAGTAGCAGCACCCGCTGCCTGTCCGAGAGGTTTGCTGTGAGCCCCAATGAGATGAAGTTCCGAAGTGCTTAGCAGCACGGGCCTCACTGTTGAGGAGTGCTTGGTGATGCCACGCCTGGGAGTTCAGAGAACTGGTCACTCCAGAGTTGGGGATGATCCCACGGTGATTCCGGGTGCTCTGAGCTGTGGTGCCGAGTGCCGGCCTCCCAGCTGCTGCCTCGGGTTCCTCTTCTCCGGGACTGTGCTGGGGACTGAGCCACCTCCTGCTCCGGCCCCTTGTGCTCGGGTTCAGCACTCTGCATTCCTCCACTGGGGTGGTGTTCCTTCCCTGGGGGAGGCACCCCCTCCGCCCCACCCCAGTTTCTCCTTCACTCTTGCCCTCCCCTTTCCTCCCCTCCCCTTGGTAGTTGAGACGACCAGGGCTCGTCCTCTGCTTGGTGCTCCCACTGACTGAGGTGCTCACACCTCTTCCAGCTGTGCTTACACACGGTCACGGTGCTTGCTGAAGGCCATGCGGGCTCTCCTGGGGGGCACTTCGGAGTTGCCGTGTTCATTGGAGGTTGCGTGCTTTAGTCGCAGTGCTCCCCCAGACCCGGCTTCCTGACACTTCAGGGTTCCAAACCGCGGAGCTGCCGGGGCTGCGTTCGGCTCACGGGAGCATCAGGGATCGCACTCCCTCGTCAGCTCTGCTGGCAGGCAGATGCATTTGTCGCCGAGCAGTCCCAGGGCTCCTCCTGCATCCGTTTGCACACTGATTAAGGCGGGGTTCATTTCTCAGTGCCAGGGGTCGACCAGCACGCAGGAGGCCTGTGCCGCCCTGTGCATTCACACCGCTGGCTCGGCTTCCCGTGAGCTGTCTCCGTGGCTTGGCATTCCTCTGCCCCTTCCCCAGCTGCCTTGTTCCTTCTGCTCCTTTCCCGTTCTGCTCCTGCTTCTCTCCTCCTCGCTCTTCCCTCCTTTCTTTGCTCTCTTCTCTACTGGTCCCATGTCTCTGTCTCTCTGCCCCCCCACCCCTCTCCCTCCTCACCTTGGTTTTCTTTCTTCTCTCTCCTTTCATCACTCCTGCTGTCTATCTCTTCCGCACTCCACATCCCCTCCCCGCCTCTCCCCTCCCCGCCTCTCCCTTCCCCACCTCTCTCCCCTTCCCACCTCTCTCCCCTCCGCAGCTCTCTCCCCTCCCTTCTCTTCCCTCCTCACCTTTCCTCTCCCTGCCTCTCCCCTCCCACCTCTTCCCTCCCATATCTTCCTCCTGTATCTCTCCATCTCTCCCTTCCCTTCCCTCCCCTCCCATTTCTCCCGTCCTGTCTCTCCCCTCCCCACCTCCCCCCTCCCAGTCTCTCCCCTCCCGCCTCTCCCCTCCCCGCCTCTCTCCCCTCCCCGCCTCTCCCCCTCTCTTTCCCTGCTCAAACCCCTTTCCAACTTCTCCTTCTCCTTCTCTCTTCCCTTCTATTTCCCTTTAGTCTTTTGAGTCCTAGCACTGCCTGCCGAAGAATAAGCAGTTCGAGCTATCACAGAAAAATGTTGTCTTTCAAGTCTTTATTAATTCTGATGTAAAATGTTTATTTTGCCATTTCAGTACCAGAACTATGTGGTATTTCTGCTTCCATCTCCACAGGGCTTCATTGCATTATTACCGTGCTCAAGTTAGTAAAGTTAGTACCGTTCCTCAGCAACAGCTTAGTGATTTTGAATAGTACGAATAGTAAATTTAAGTTTAGCTTTATCATATACATTAGCAATGTGAAATATGCTTGTTAATTAAAGAAAAACTAAAAATTAACTCAGGCAAACTGATTGTTCTTTACTAATTTCTTTGTTCTTTTTTTTTTCCCCTTCTCAGATCCCTTTCTCATTGGTCCAGTTTCCATTATGGGAATCCTTAAAAGTAAGTTTCTCAGTCTTCACATAAAATACCTCTCAGTTATCACAATACTCAACAGATTTAATATCACAATATCCAATATTCAGGATCACAATATCCAACAGATTGTAGAACAGGAAAATACAGTATAATACAGTATTGACTAGCAGTTAGAAAATGCAGAATTATTAATTATTGGAAATAATGTTTTGCCTATGCTTTGTATACCAGTCTGTTCTTTTACACTTAGGTTCCCGTGACACTGGGTAATGTGCAGAACAATTGGGAGGGCCACAGATGTTAAGGAAAAACATTGCTCACTTTCTTCCTATTGAAACTCTTTCTCCACTGGATCTTAAATTTTACTCAGTGTAAACGAGTAGACAACAAATCAGAGGGAAATGTGTGTGTGTGTGTGTGTGTGTGTGTGTGTGTGTGTGTGTGTGTGTGTCTTGGAGAGCCCCACAAGCTACCAAGAGTATCCTGCCCACACAGCAGAGCCTGGCAAGCTACCCGTGGCGTATTTGATATGCCAAACACAGTAACAATAACGGGTCTCATTCCCCTGACCCTGAAAAAGAGCCTCCAATACGGCAGCGTTGGGAAAGACGAGAAAGGAGAGGCTGCTAAAATGTCAGGGCTGGGACGAATGGAGACATTACTGGTGCCTGCTCGAGTAAATAGATGAACGGGATGACAGTGACAGTGATACAGTGAAATGAGTGGTAGGGAGAGTGTTTGAGAGAGTGTATGTGTGGGAGAGTGAATGTGTATGTATGGAGGAGAGAGAGAGTGTGTATATGAGAGAAGGGGTGTGTATATGGGAGAGTGTGTGTATGAGAGAGTGTGTGTGTGAGAGAGTGTGTGTATGAAAGTGTGTATGTGTTTATGTGAGACAGAGAATGACAGAGAGAGTGTGTGTATGAAAATATGTGTATGAGAGAGGGAGGGACTGAGGGAGGGAGGGAGGGAGGGAGGGGGGGGCTTAAGAAGCAAGACCTAAAAGGCTATGCCCACCCACCCTCTCCCCACATGTAATGGGGGGGGGGGTGGCGGAGTGGGAGCAGTGCTCTGACCGTCCCTTCCATCTTCCCTGTTTGCTGGCACCTGGCCTATGACTCTCTAGTGGGAGGGAGCACATTGGGGTGAGTTGTGATTCAGCCATTTTTAAACCTGTGTTCAGAACTCGCAGGGATGTCATGTTGTCGTTCATCATCCAGTGCCAGGCATTTGATTCTGGTGGGCCGAGATGTGAACTGTGTGAGCGTTTGTGGTGGAGGATCTGAGGTGACGTCAGTGTTGGGTGCACAGGCTTGCGTTTGTCTCTGGGTGAACTGCATTGCTGGTGTGTTTCTTCCTCTGGATGATGAGACTAGAGTGTTCAGGGGAAAGTGGTTTATAAATGATCAAAGTGTAAAATGGCACAATAGGTGGCAAAAAAAAAAAGTAAAGGAATTACTTATAATTCTTTTGAACTAGTACTCACAGAATGCTCTTACTAAATGCATGTTCAGCAAGTAACAAAAATTACTTGGACTCTTGTCCCAGAGCAATAGTACAGCCCATAGAGTTGGATCCCAGTGCCACATACGGTCCCTGAGCAACACCAGAACTCAGCCCCAAGACCTTCTCCCCCCCAGAAAACTTACTTAGCTCTGAAAACTTTTCCAGTGTTATAAACTGTAAATTATAAAATGAGAGAGAAGCTTATGAAAATAGGCCCTCCCGTTGATCATCGATTTGCTCGAGCGGGCCCAGTAACGTCTCCATTGGAGACTTTGTTGTTACTGTGTCTGGCATATCGAATATACTCTCGGTAGCTTGCCGGGCTCTCCGAGAGGGGCGGAGGAGTCGAACTCGGGTCGGCCATGTTGGCTGCGTGCAAGGCAGACGCCCTACCCGCTGTGCTATCGCTCCAGCCCCACATGAAAATAAGCTTCTGGAATATTAAACATTGAGAAGTATTCCTTGTAAGTGATCTGGTTTTAAAGGTTCTACAGCTTATTTGTTAGAGTCTTCTAGGCCCTTCATTGTGGTTGCCTGGTTGGCCTTTTTGACCATTTGCTATGGGGTTTGTGAGGAAGTGGATCTCTTCTGTGGTGTTCCTAGGCATGATGTAACAGTGGGAAGGTCACATTCCAGGAGCATAGCAGAGCTCGTCTTTCATGTGTGACAGAAAAACGGCAAGAGCGCCAGCAGACCCACAAACAAATCTCACTTTCTTAACCTCTCAGTAACCGGCATTCACACAAACAGCTCGCCCTCTGCCCTGACAGCACCATCTCTCAAAGCAGAATGTTGAGTCCCAAAGAAGGGAAAAATACATGCAGTCTATTTCTTTTCAATAGTATGATATTTGTGTAGTCTTGCTAGTGAGGAAATTCCTAGAATTTTTCACAGTGATCAGAGTTAACGATGTTAAGCTTTAACAGTTTTCAAGATGGTAGGGTTTTTTTTCTTTAAACTGAGTTTACTGGGCAATAATTTTCATTCAGTAGAATTTACCTTTTATTGGTGAACATTTAAATGTCTACAACTCCCACCATAATCAAAATGTAGGATATTTGTCGTTTATCTTTTCCAGAATTTTATATTGATTGATGATCCTTTGTCTACCTTCTCTCACTTAATTTGATGCTTTCATGGTTATTCATGCTCTTGCTAATGCTGTGATTTGTCCCTTTTGTCCCTGAGCAATATTCCATTGTACGGATCTACTTCCATTTGTGTGTTCATTCACTGATAAGCTGTATTTGGTTTGTTTCTACTTTTTGTTGATTATGAACGGAGCTGCAATCAGTCTTTTCACTTAGGTACCTTTTTGTACGAGTGTTCTTACTTTTCTTGGGCAGGTGCCTAGGAATGAAGATACAGTGGGTCATCAGGAAAGTATGCTGACTTTCATAAGAAATAGCTGATGTGCCCCAAAGCCAAAGCTTTTTCCAAAGTGACTAAACACTACTGCATTCCCACCACAATAGAGATGAGAGTTCCATTCACTCATACCCGTGCATTTATGTTGTTAATACGTTCGTAGTTTGTAGTCATCCTAATATTTGTATATTTCTCATTGTTTTATTTGCATTTTTGTCATTTCTGTTGAACTGAGCTTGTTGAACATCTTTTTACATTCCTGTGTGGTTTTTTGTTTCTTTGTATTTTTTTATCTTTATATTTGTATCTTTGTACCCAGGGGTGCTCAGGGCTTACTCCTGACTGTTCAGGACCACTCCTGTCAGTGCTTGGTGGACCGTCTGTGGCACAAGGAGTTGAATCCAGATTGGTTACGTGCAGGGATAGTGCCTTTCCCATTGTACTATCTCTCGGCCTCCACGGGGTCTTTTTTTTTTCTTTTTTTTAATTTTTATTAGTGAGACACCATGAGGTACAGTTGTAGATGTACAGATTTTTGTGCTTGGGTTTCAATTATACAACGATCAAATACCCACCCCTCCACCGGTGCCCATTTCCCACCACCACAGATCCCAGTATCCCTCCCACGGAAACACTTGATTGTGAAGTCTCAGTGCTTTAAAGACATAGAAAATTTCTGATGTTATTTTGGTTTGCTTTTAGGCCCCTGGCTGGCAGTGCTCAGGCTGCCTCTGACTGGGTTCTGGGGGTGCTGAGAGGCCGTTCCAAGCTCGGGATCAGCCCTAGGCCTCTGGCTCACAAAGCTGGTCTCCAACTCAGATCTTCCTGGTCCTGGCACTTTTTTTTTAATTTGCATAAAGTTGTTCACAGTAATGGATCACATTCAATATTTCAACACCATTCCCACCACCATTATACCTTGCAACCACCATTATTTTGAATTTTCTCACCACCACTCAAACCTGCCCAACAGGCCAATGCTAGATTATTTATTTTGTATTGCCGGTCATGAATAGCATGAGATGTTGCACCTGACACTTATTTTTGTGTTTAGATTTTACCCATTTAACTTTGCTTTTGCAACTGTAGGAAGCGTTTTTGTGTGGAAGAGTTTTTCTGTTATGTTTATGTGGGAATACTACAACAAGAAATTTGACTTTCCAAGAACTTTTGCAGACTGAAACCTGTTCTGTTGCTGGGAGCACTGTCTGCAGCTCGCGGATGGCCACTCTTACCTTACATTCCCTCTGCCCGGAAGCACAGGCATCATTTTATTTCTAAAATTGCTCCCTCCTGCTCTCTCTGAATTTTTGTCTTTGGGCCACATCCAGCCGTGCACGACAGAGCATATTCCTAACTCTGCATGCAGGGATTTCTCCTGGCTAGGATCTTAGGACCATTCAGGGTTCCTGGGGTTGAACCCGAGTCAGCTGAGTGTAAGGCACGGTCCCTACCCCCTGTACCATCTCTCGAGCCCCCTCTCTGATTTCTGTTAATCATGGTACTACTTTCCTTGCCACTTGGACTAAACCCCAGATTGAAGAACAACTCTCTCCTTCCTTTTCCCCTCTGTGTGTGTGTGTGTGTGTGTGTGTGTGTGTGTTTCTTGGTTTTGCTTTTGGGCCACACCTGACTGTGCCTCCGCACTCTGGGATTACTCTGGGAGGGCTCAGGGTACCATCTGGGACGTCAGGGATTGAACCCGGTTGGCTATGTGCCAGGCAGGTGCCCTACACGCCACGCCATAGCTCCCGCCACACCACTGTCCTTCCTTGCCTCCACACCCCTCACTCAGCAAGTTCAGTTGACTTTGGCTTCTAGAACCTGGGCCCCCTTGATGTGCTTCTTACTCAGGCCTGCACTTAGGAGATTCCATACTTCTCATCCCTCCTACACATCAGAGTCCTGTGAGCGCCCTTCAACATCTCTCCAGCATAATGCTTGTGTCTTCAGAAATCTCTGACTTTCCAGAATTCACCATGTTGTGGGTATTCAAAGATACCAGTACTGTGTCCTTAACTGGTAGCTCTAGTTTTTGTAAAAAATAAATTCTTTTCTTTTTTAAGAATTCTTTTCTTCTTGCTGTAGAAGGTTCCTTCCCGTTCCTGGTTCTCCTCCCATTCCTGCTCGGTCTCTTCTGCACTGTGCTC